AAAAAAAAAAAAAGCATGAATGTGCCAGCCTGTTTCGTCGGACTTTCAGCAACTCGTCAGGAGGCTGTGTGTGTGTGTGTGTGTGTGTGTGTGTGTGTGTGTGTGTGTGTGTGTGTGTGCGTGTGCGTGAGTGTTGTCATGATCTCTAAGCACAACTCCACGCAAAAAAAGCACGACTGTGCCATTCTGTGCTGTGTGCTGTGTGCTGTGTGCTGTGTGCTGTGTGCTGTGTGTGTGTGTGTGTGTGAGTGTTCAATGTTGTCATGATCTCTAAGCACAACTCCACGCAAAAAAAGCACGACTGTGCCATTCTGTGCTGTGTGCTGTGTGCTGTGTGCTGTGTGCTCTGTGTGTGTGTGTGTGTGTGTGTGTGTGTGTGTGTGTGTGTGTGTGTGAACGTGTGTGTACTCTCTTTTAAGGCGTGGTGCTCCGAAATACTAGATAGGCGGACGTAAGGAACAACAACTACCGTCCGCACCCCCCCCAAAAAAAAACACAAAGCACCGTTATAATGAAATTACATAAGCTAAGCTTACAGTCAAATGAGGGTGCGTTGCATTCGGGGGACAACAAGAACAGCCGCATCGCAAACTGGAAGGTCGGATATAACAATGTCATGCCGAACCATAAGAGGTGCAGCGTGCATCTGTGCGCTTCGAACCCAGTTTGCGGGCGAGTCAGAGCACACACAAGTATACACAGAGCACACTCATGAAACACATGAACACATGAACACATGAAAACGGAAGGCACACAACTACACAGCAGCAAGACAATCACTGCATTAGCACACCGATGCATGCTGCACCTCTCTTATTGTTCGACATGCCATTGTTATTTCCGACCTTCCAGTCTGCGATGCGGCTGTCGCACAACTACTCAGCACATACAAACACAGCAGTAGTGAGTCTGACGACAGACTGTTTCGTTGGACTTGCACCCATTCATACCGGAACGTCAACCCTTGACGGTCTGCTGGATCCGCTCACAAAACTTATGTCATACTTTCAGTTCGAGGTTCGAATCCGTCGTAACCAGATTCGAACACAGATTTAGAACCCAGATGAGAAAGGGCGGACACAGCAAAGCATGTAGCATGGGCCCTGGGGTCACGGGGTGAACGCGGCAACGAAGAGCAATACAAATAGCAGGAAGGCAGGAGGGAAAGCAGGCAGGGGGCAGGGAGGGAGGGAGGGAGGGAGGGAGGGCGGGAGGGCGGGAGGGCGGGAGGGCGGGAGGGTGGGCACACGAGAACAGAACAAGGAAGTCAAGTGAGAACAGAACAAGGAAGTCAAGTTGAGTCGACAAAATAGCAGCAGGGGGAAGATATGGTAAGGCAAGAGGGGGAAGGGAGCCGCGCGGGCGGGCGGAACAACAACACAGTAGGGGCTGCAGGGCAAGCAAGGGGGGACATAAACCGGCGGAAGCAGCCTGAAGCAAAGCAGACTATCGCCTACGCGCATCATATGGAGGACCCCAGCAGACTGTAGGTACTATGTAGGATCACGCCACTAGAAGGAGATAGGAAACCACGAGACGAACGTCTGTCACCGACGGAAAACACAGACACACAAGCAATGTCGAGCATCCCAAACACCACGGGCCCCCTAATAGTGATGCAGGCACTTCTTACAAACACGCACCTACTCTTGAGAACAACTTGAAGGTACTCAACTTCGGCAGAATGGGCACAGAGACAAACACGGGAAAAGGCTAATCAACGCAACAGATAAACCACAATCCAAAGAACACAAGTATAAAAACTGTTTGTGTGTGTGTGTGTGTGTGCGTGTGTGTGTGTGTGTGTGTGTGTGTGTGTGTAGTTGGTTGTG